TTAATGTTCAAGGCGTCGTAAAACGCACTGGTGCTGAAACTATAATGGCAGACTGCCCATACTGGCGGTCGGATGCGGGAAAGGGGCGTCACTAGGTTACACGCTATGTTGTCCATTTCCAGCCATCTATGCTGGCCTTCTTGATCGGGTGATCTGACTCAGTGACCTCTCTGTTTGCCCTTAATAGTACCCTGATGCCCTGGATCGTTGTGCTCAGAATATCAATCACTGACGTGTCTCGCCAAGGCGGCGTCAAAAATAGGAATAGTTCGTGTGATAGACAATCAACATTCCAATGATGTGCTAGAATGTGTAATAGTGAGACTCCGTCTGTTTAATTGGGCTGATGGTAATGTGGTTTCCGAGAGACGCCACGGACCGCCGCCATATTGCTGGAATATTTCTGAGTGCGGTGTCAAACAATATTCAACGTTCAACGACACCAACTTACTCCAGCCTGTGTAAACGTCTACCGCGACCTAACAGCTTTACACCTTCCAGACTAGGAATTGAACCGAACGCCACAACAGTGTAACATATATACAGAATTATTGCAAAGGTTTCTAAATATCAGGGGCCTTTATTGAATGAATCAGAGCTCTGTCATGACCACACAGCGAAATGGCACGCTTATATTACTCGATAGTGTCATATCTGCGTCAGAAAGGTGACTAGCTTTATATAGACTACAGCTTAAGTAATAAAGGATAATAATATAATAGCATCTTCCATCTGAGTAGACAAGCTGGTTGACAGGTGCGTGACGATGTATCATGACTTGACCATTGACTGACCTATGTTAAGTTAATTATATTCATGAGTAGATTAAGAGGTTTATCTCTATGTGACCTAGGCTTGGTCATTCTAGTTGGCTAGATATTGCTGTTGGCCTGTCTGTGGGGGTCGCCGGAAGAAGGTTCCTGTACGTAATGGTCTCCCTGGGGTTGTCTGAGTAGAGTCTTCAGTATGTCATGCATAACGTAGAAAGGGATTAAGATCGCTGTAAAGGGCAGATCGCCTGAAACATTCTGTCAGTTCGAGCTATGAGAGTGAGGATGGGGTATTCAATCTGTTTGATTAGTGCAATGCAGTTCAAGCATTAATCTTACATTAGCTGGTTTACACTTGTGTAACCAGTGAATCGGAAGTGTGTGAACACGTAAAACAATAACGGAGACAATCTCTGGCATGTTTTGTTTTACAGTTCATTATAATTCACCGAGAAATACACTTAGTGTAATACTCATACACAGAACGTGTGTGCACGCAATATACGCAGCACACAGCACTGACCTACGTCGAGAACATTTTTTTGCAAAGATTCATAAATACAGGAGATTATATGAGTGCCCATGTCATACTATGTTTACGACACGAGTGCCTAAATGTTGGTATTTCCCGAGCGAGAGCGAGGGATATGCCGATATTTAGGCACGAGTGTCGTAAACATACTATGATATGGGCACGAATATAGTATTATGTTTATTACCGAAGTCGTCAAATTGAGGAAAATAAACCAAAATCTACTTTCAAACACAGGCTGGCTTTTCGCCGTCGCCGCAACGTCACAGAAGAAACGCGACGTCATAGCCTTGTTCATGACGTCACGTCACCATGACAAAGTGATATTTTGCCCTAGGGCATCGTATGAAGAATATGAACCCCGATATGTTCGCCCTCGTAGGTAATAAATAACAGTGTTCACACACTGGCAGCAGATGGTATGCTCCATTCGATGACAGTTAAACTTGAAACAAACAAGAATGACCATTCGATGGCGACTTGTTGCAAGCAAGCATCATAGTGGTATTTGGGATACGTTTGTATTGTTTCGGTTACTGTTCAGTCCAGCAACGTTTCGTTAGCGTTTGTAATGTTGCGGTTACATCCGATTTTCAAGTATGTGGTTATGTCAGATTTTCAAGTGTGTGTGGCTTACATGTGTGGGTTACATTCGATTTTCAAGGGTTATGTCCGATTTTGGGATTATGTCCGATTTTCAAGTGTGTGGTTGTATCCGATTTTTAAGTGTGTGGTTACATCCGAATTTGAAGTGTGTGGTTACATCCGATTTTCAAGTGTGTGGTTACATCCGATTTTGAAGTATGGGTTACATCCGATTTTCATGTGTGTGGTTATATCCGATTTTGAAGTGTGTGGTTATGTCCGATTTTCATGTGTGGTTATGTCCGATTTTGAAGTGTGTTGTTACATCCAATTTTCAAGTGTTTGGTTATATCCAATTTTCAAGTGTGTGGTTATGTCCAATTTTCAAGTGTGTGGTTATGTCCAATTTTCAAGATTTTGAGTATGTCCATTTTTCAAGTGTGTGGTTATATCCGATTTTCAAGTGTGTGGTTATGTCCAATTTTCAAGTGTGTGGTACTATCCGATTTTCAAGTGTGTGGTTATATCCAATTTTCAAGTGTGTGGTTATATCCAATTTTCAAGTGTGGGGTTATGTCCAATTTTCAAGTGTGTCGTTTTGTCCAATTTTCAAGATTTTGAGTATGTCCAATTTTCAAGTGTGTGGTTATGTCCGATTTTGAAGTGTGTGGTTATATCCGATTTTCAGGATTTTCAGTTATAAATATACATCCATTTAGATGCATGGGCGTATGATGTGTGATGACCTCCGCTCGTAATTATATATAAATACAGCAGAATCACCCAAACCCACCCTCTACGATATGTACAGCGTATTGTATGGCTAGTTTATTTAATATCTTTAAGGCGCCGCGGTTTGCCCTTAGCCCCAGGCTCCGCAATTCACTATGCAGAGGCGTCACTTGGGCGTGCAGAAACTTGTGACCGTTGATTCGAATTTCGGTTTACCTTCTGTATGTTCCTCAGTTTGTCTGTACCGGCCTTGCTTGGGTTATATGAAAGTGCTAAACGTCTGACACCTGCATGACTTCGGGCTTTCATCCCACATTAAGCAGACCCGCCGTGATATAAATAGAATGGTGCTCGAAGGTGCGTTAAATCCAACTAATATATTTATATCCCAACAGAAAGGAGATATAATGCAGTGTACTATACAGTCTCAAACTATAAAATTTTAAACAGCCAGTGTATGGTTTTAACACTAGCTCAGCTGCAGGTGACAGGGGCCTACCACTGCTTCCCACGCAGAACGCTGACGTTTACCATCTTCCTGAAATGTACGACCTCAGTGCTCATCAGAAATATGGATGATCTTTGTCAGAGACAATATGGGATTCGAACACAATACTAGCGGGTTCTCATAACCCTGGTCTTTAAGCTACAGACAGTGTGTGATTGCCGTGCTCTACTACTTTAACGTAGTCAACAAAATGTTCTGCTGGTGCTTTTGGCGTGATGTATCAGTGAAAGAATATCTTGTACTTGTTGTTTCTTGTCGGTGTTCTTAAAGCCATTTTAGCACTAAAGACCTTTTGTGTTAAAGCACACTACCCGTGGGGTTTGAATAGATTGGTGATCGGGCTCCGTGACGTAGTTGTCATTTTACAACTGCGTGGACAGATGCTCACTCTATCGACCACTGGTCCACTTGGAGATTTACAGGCCGCCATCTTAAGGATTGGACTATTGCTGGAGGCGGAGTCCAACAACAACAACAACAACAACAACAACAACACACACAGACCTCTGAAAGAATGTTAAAGCCCATCTTACTGCCTTGTACCACCAGTGCATCTTACCGTCATAACGGGGGCCATGGGGTAGCCTAGTGGTTAAAGCGTTCGCTCGTCACTCCGTAGACCCGGGTTCGATTCCCCACAAGGGTACAATGTGTGAAGCCCATTTCTGGTGTCCCCCCGCCGTGATTTTGCTGGAATATTGCTAAAAGCGGCGTAGAACCATACTCACTCAGTCATTACTGTCATGACAAAGGAAAATCACAGGTCAGTGTAAGACGTTGACCTTATAAGAAACACGTATAACTAGGAATGAGAAATACGCTATAACAGCGCCACCACCAACCCAATAATGACCCACTTACTGAGGAAACATGGTAGGAGCGGCTTAACACCACCGAGGCACTCTTTAAGCCGAAAAGTATATATTTACCTCGTGTCCTCTGTGAACGAATAATGTCGTCGACAGGTGGTCAATACTCTTCATTAAAACTTACGATGTGTTTGATCTCGTTGGTTCGATACAAATTAGTTTTAGACGGATGCGGAGAAAGGATTAAAAAATCCAATTGTCCTCTTTGTGCCATGAAATTGATCGAACTTTTTTTTCCCCTGGCAAATGCAGTTTTTTAGTCAGTGTTTCAAATCTTGAAAATGTCTGTCACAAGAATAGTGGGACAGTAAGTGGGGTTTTAACGAATAGCTCGTGTTTACACACAGGCCATGCATGTGTTTTAGTGGCGTTAAGATAAGTCAATCTTTCTATAGAAAGATAATATTCGTTCTGTTTACAACATTGAGTAGGTATTTTTAAAAAGTTGTTAATCAGTTTTCAATTAATCAAATGTAATGAAGGTGGGTAAATAAATGCAGTTATTTTTATAATTCACAAATCCATTAATAAATAAAATATCTAATATACAAAGAAATTAATTCAGTATGGATATGGTGCTACGTGTATGTCCAACGTAATTTGGCAAAGAACTGAAGATACAATATAAAAAAAACATCCTAGTTACATTGATGAAATGTGAAGTCGTGGTATAAAACATATGTCGCGTCTTGGTTTAAAAAACAGTTAGGGAATGAGTAGCTCTGAGAATTACTTCCCCAAAACCGATCATTCCTCGCATCAGAGGTCGCTGCTAGCCTAGTTTTACTACAAAATTCCATTCACGGTTTTAGGGAGGGGAGGTTTGTGACAAATCAATAATTTTTGATAATTCGGTAAACGTTGGGCTTCGATCTCGTGAACATCATGACATACTCGCCAGCATAACATGGACATTATGTAGCATGTGAAACCGTCGCACTGTGTCGAGATTATCTTATCAGTGATAAACCCGACACCCCCACACAGTAGACTGTTCCACCTCGTGGAGCCGGTGTAAAAGTGTATTCAGTGTTGGGGTCGCCTGTGTAAGTGTTCGTGTTATCAGCTGTCAAGTTGGGAATTTTACATTCTGAGAACACCGAATCAAAGTATCGAAAATGCGTTGTTGGTTAGTTGTGGCATTAATTGCCTTCGTTGTCGTCTGTGACGCGAGGAGGGTGAAAAGGGAACATAAGCATCATACGAAAACACACCACAACCAACACGAGAAATCCGTGAAACACCACCTCGAAACGGACAAGGTAAGTTTGCTGTCATGCTGCGCAAACTCTATACCCGTCTGACAGAAAATCTTTTGTTCAGAATATTATGTATATCCTGGCGGGCGTCATACATCTGTGGCGTGTGTGATATACAAAATATCCACCGGTGATTAAACTTTTAACACACTATGTGCTATTTTTTTTACCTTACATTGTTACCACATCAAACTTTGTTTGAAAAAGTTTCTCTTGCGAAAATGACCTTTTGACACGTTTTGTATTTCACTCTCTTTTCCTATAATTTTTGTTGAAAAATTATGTTCAAGATCAAACAGTTTTTGTGAAATATATTTCCACTATTAAGACACATTTTGGATATTGGAAATTTATTTCAAAATAATACATATGAAAAATAGATCAATTCAATTTATCATCAGTTAATAACATTGAAATGTTAATTATGGGGTAAAAAGTCTATAGTCACGTCAAATAATCTACCTAAAGTGCCCCAAAGTAAATACTCAATATTTGTTACAATATGTCTAGACAAGGTTGAGACACAATCTGTGCTATGCACTCCCACAGGTAACAGGATTTCACCTTTCCAACTATTTTAGGATATGAACCATTCAAACATGAACATGTGACTTTTGCATGCCCATATTTTTCAATTCCTACCCTAACACCCAAATCCTTTGAGAATCTTATACATTTCAGTTTGGTGTGTCAGGTAAGGTTTAGATCCCCCACACTGAGTAAACTATATGGGGGCCAAGAGCACCAAAATGAGGCCATGTGTATTTGTTGAGGGCTGTCGCTCAGTCACCAGGTACAAGCTGTCGAACCACGCTGATGGTGTGGCTATATATATCTGTGATGAAAAACTCCTCACCTTTGAGGAGGAGTTTGGAGAAGGCCAACTTTTTTTGTCATGTGTTGACATTTGTAATTTTATTTATGTAGTTGAGGTCTTCGTCAAGTATGTGTTGATTAAACAGGTTTAAAGAAGTTATATCCTTACCTATGAGGAGTTTGGAGGAGGAGGAGAACTTTTTTATGGTCATATGTTGACATTTGTAATTTTATTATGTAGTTGAAGTCTTCTTCAAGTAGGATTGAAGGGATTTAAAGAAGTTATGAGTGTTTCTTTAACTGTTTGGTTAATGATGCTGCGTCCCAATATACAATGAGCAAACATCACAGACAATTAAGGAAAGGGAACTGTGTTTGTTGACATAGTTGTTGGAAACCCACATTGAAATGTATTTCTATAGGTTTTTTTATAAGAAATATTTTTCCTCTTTCAGGCAATATCCTTCTATATGGCAGCTACCTCTCAGAGTCACACAAATATTCGTTATCAATCATTTATGATTTTGTTATATTTTAGCTACACTACTTTCTTTCATTTCCAGTACACATGTAGTTATCTAGGATTCTAAACAAATTCAATTCTGGAAGGCAAAATGAGACATATTTTTTCAAAATAGGGATCTTATTGACATTTTTATTTTCTAAAATTTAGTGGCATTTCATCACTCATTCACACTCATTTCTGATGGTTTTGCACATTTTGAAAAATAACTGGTATATAATGTAAAAACAACTGGCATATGATGTGTTTTAGAAGATTTCAAATGTCTAACTTAGGAGGATCTGTGAGGCATGCTTTCCTTAAATATACATTGAGTGATGACATCCTTGTGGAACAATCTGACCTGTCACCACTGTGGATTCATGTGATCATGTGACAGTACCTATTTGTGTTGGGGTAGTGAAGGAATAATGAGTTCAATATCTTGCTATGTTGTATAAATGAGTTGAAGCTGTAAGACGTGAGACAGCAACAGTATCATGTCTGAATTAGATAGGAATCATTTACAATTTGAAAACAATTGCTTTTGAGACTACAGATTCAAGAGGCCTGGGGTGGCATTTTGTTCATTGCCGTTCATTGGCACTTTAAGCAATTGGGTGTACAGAATCTGTTTACTGAACAGCAGAATTTCTGCATTCTTGAGACAAAGTTATTTCAGGATGACTTGTTGACTTTAACTGCTGACTTGTATACGTGTTAACAGGAAGAATTACACCCTCTGAATACATGGTCAATTATGGCTGACTCATGCGAGTGTTTTAATGTCATGTACAGCGAGGTCAAGTGCTTTGACCTCGAGGTGTGGCAACTCACTAGGTAAAATACCTTCCGTTACTGCCAGGATTTGCTTATCTGTGTTTGAACTCTTCACGTTTTTAGCCATTATCATTGGTCTGACAGTACCATGCCCTCCCAAGTGAAGAGTTTGGCTATTCTCACACAAATTTGGCTGACATGCCTTAATATTACTGAAATAATGTACTTTAAGCACTCATCGTCTCACACTCACTCACTCGGGGTGATTTAAGCATTCACTTCTCACGCCGAAGACCCGGGTTTGATTCCCCTCATGGGTACAATGTATGAAGCCAATTTCTGGTGTCCCCTTGCCGTGATATTGCTGGAATATTGCTAAAAGGCAAACAACTACACTCTAACTCATAGATATTCATAAACAATGATTGTCATATTGGTGAGAATATGTGATACATCAGGTCTGCTCCATAAATCTACATTGAGGGACAATAATCCTGATTTAAGTCCTTATGGAACAATTTGACCTGTCACTGCTGTGGTTTCACAATCTCACTATTTCCAATCGCGAAAACAGTTTGTTGACATGTGACCATCCACCTACAACAAATATATGTCAGAACCCCTTGATACACTGTGCCACAAAGTATATCAAAATAAGTGACGTCAAATATGAATTGTAAGAAAGCCGTGCAAGTGAGAGCTGAATGTCAATGATTTACCTCAAGATATCGATGGGCTCTTATTAATGAATATCTCAACAGCAAATCCAATGCCAAGTCAGTGTGGGGCTCTATGCTTATTGTAAGTGGGATTACATTGTTTGAATTAAACTTTATGTGAGTGAATAAACATCTGATCATTACCCAGAGTAAGTTTCATTCATTCCAACATCTGTGCTCTAGGGGACTAATGGTGGATATTATCCCAGTGGAGAGATATGCATATGGGACGTGATTCTTTGCCTCTGGGAAAACCTATATGAAATGACGTGTCGAAGTGCATTAGGATTAATACTGGAATATGATTTTCTGCCTGTACAAGATGATTCAAGGCCGTTCCATTATGCTTTCCTTTGTTTTCTTTCATTTTGTAATGGAGAAATGAGAATTTGTTGGTTCTACTTCCAGATTAATGGTGATTTCTGATTTAAACTAATGTTATCGTTACAATGCATTTTCTTGATTTTGTGTATTGACTTACTGTTGTGTCAGTTTTACTTAGTGGTAGTGGGGTCTTGTAGTGGTAAAAGCGTTAGAACGTCACACCGAAGACCCAGGTTTGATTCCACACATGGGTACAATGTGTGAAGCCCACAACATGTGTGAACTCGCTCAGTTTTACTTGTTTAAGATTATAATGCACATTCAGAAAGGAATTCTGGCTCAGAATCAAATGGGGCAGTGGGGTAGCCTAGTGGTTAAAGCGTGCGCTGGTCATGCCGATGACCCGGGTTCGATTCCTCACATGGGTACAATGTGCGAAACCCATTGGTGTCCCCCGCCGTGATATTGCTGGAATATTGCTAAAAGTGGCGTATAACTTCACTCACTCACTCACTCACTCAGAATCAAATGCTAAGACCGTTGTTTGACGTAGGCATGATCATATAACGATTGATGACAGAATGTTTCCTTGCCAAGTGGTAAGTATGGTATCGGATGTCACACTGCAACCTTTCTATCAGCAAGGGAATGTTTACAGTCCAGGTCCTGTAACATTGTACAACCATGAATCATTTGTAAATCTATCCAACTTGGTGGGATCGGTGTGAATATTTACAGCTGTTTCCTGTTTGAAGCCATGATCGCTTTAATAGCACCATTTTCTGGCTGAAAACCATCCTGCTGATGGTTTGGAATAAACTTATATTATTTCAGTGATAAGATGGTCATCAGAACTTTGTATGCATTTATTATGCAGTCAGTTTTCACAATAGAAGACCAATGCCACAACCAGATATATGAAGCAGTGTTTATGCAGGTGTTGTATTCTCCTTGTTTAACATTGCTGTGTACCTTCCGTGTCATCTGTTACTGTTTGTTTAAAAAATATGCAGTATTCATCTTGTTGGGGTTGAGGATAGAAAAGTTAGGTCTCAGCAATCTCATTATATCATTATACACCACTGACCTAGGTCACTATCTGCAATACTGCTTATTGGATTGTCTGGTCCAAAGTTGATTATTTATAGCTTTAATGTTACAGAGTACAGCATTAAATACAAACCAAATAAACAAGCACCATAGACGTGATTGTGATAAATGTATAAAACATGTTTTACCCTGAAACCAGAACACTATACTACACCTCTACACATTTTATAGACATATCACATACAAAATGCAGTTGTTATGGTTACCAAGGCCATCTGTTTTGTTCTATGATTGTAATATTAGATACAAACATCTTGTTCCTGGCCAGATTTTCTAAGAATGGTAAATGTACTATTGATAAGGGGCTGTGTTGGATAGCCAGATGCCTGCTTGTCTCACAAATACCGAGTGTTTTGCAAAATAAGTACAAATAGTGCAGCATATTTCTGGTGTCGTTATATTGCCAGGATCAGTAGCAGGTACCACAGTCTCAGTTGCTAAACCACACTACTCTCAAGCACACTCCCTCAGATTTATGTAGTAACTAACAGTATTGAAAGCTAATTTAAGCGCGTGAAGAAACGTATATCTAATTTAAGTATAATATCTTGACCACAGCATTAAATCACCTCCCCTACCATACATTACCAAGAATAGCTAAAGGAATGCTGCATCAGCAGAATGTAGTGTCAGTTTCATGTGTATATTCAGATAACATTTTGCTAAAGAAATGAATAAAGCCGTACGTAATGTATTTCCTTTCTGTATTAAATTACTACAAATATCCTGACATTTGTAAGTCATAAATAGAT